GCATGAACATTTTTTTTGTATCGAAAAAATATCGAACCGTGACACCAAAGTATCGAACCGAACCGAACCGTGAATTTTGTGTATCGTTGCACCCCTACTGAAAAGTTAATCTGTTGGTTTACTCTCATTACAAACAATGTTTCTTACTTTTGATGAATGAACAAGGATCGCCGAGATCTGTTTCAGGTGGTACATAAGTTGTCTTGTTTCCTGAAATTTAAAAGTGGAAATTTTTAAAAAGTGCCGCATCTCAAACTCACAACAGCACAAGAAGGATCACGATGGTTAAAAATATGACACCTGAAGTTTAGCACTACCATAGAGAATGAAAAGGAAACTGTTTAGGCCTGTTGAGCTAAACAATCCCAAGCTCCCACGCGGGAGGCCTGGGTTTTATTCCCAGCCACTGCAAAAGTTCCTAGCGCGCAATAAGCAAGCAATACTTTAACTTCAACCCAGTAACTCCTAATACGCTGGGACTCATCTTAATGGTCGTGCATCATAACAGTTTCCTGATTCTTTTCAAAAGATTCACTTTTTATATTTATCTTTCTGAGAAATCCTTTCATGTCCTTATTGATACAGCCCATATCAAAGTACATTTCGTGTGAATTAAAAAGCGTAGACTAAAGCAACGTCTACAAATTCATTGTTCTCTCTCACTGACAGTCCAAAATACAAAAGACTAAACATGTTAAATGTCATGTTGTAAAAGATAATTGCAGTGCTGTAAAGATAATACTCTAACAAAATGTTTTATCTTATAACCATATTCAGTCAGTCAAGTTTACCAAACTTTACCATGAGGGATGTGACATTCAGTAACTTGGAAATTCTATTGTGACGACAAACCTTAGATCTGTTTAGTTAATTTGTTTTATTTAGTAGACTTTTGGTTATTGTACTTTCTCTCTAGCTTCTCTTCAGTTTTTCGGTTCACCTGTGTCCAGTCAGCCAATCATTTACCTCCGTTAATGAACACTTTCAAAAGCTTAGAGCTTCCAGATTCTCTGAGTAGTTGAGGATACCAGTATAAATCCTAGGGACACCTCAGTTTTGTTCTGTACCCAACTGAAGTAGGATCCAAGGAAGAAATGTAGTATGACGTTTGCCATTTAAGATTCATCAGGCATTGGTACAGTACTGAGCACTTTTTGAAAGGTGTTCATTGTCTTGTGACTGACTGTGTTGTTAGCCAATTTCAGTTTCACATTCAGATCCACCCTTGCTCTTCACATACAGTTCCCAACACTGAGAGAAAACCCTAAACAACGTTCTACTGGACTGTGGGCCGTCCTCTGTTTTCTGTGCCAAAGTTGCTGCAGCAAGCATTGGTGGTTCAGTGGTAGAATTCTCGCCTGCCACGCGGGAGGCCCGGGTTCGATTCCCGGCCAATGCAGGGCTTACTTTTCTTCCCTCCATCTATATATTTTTAAATCTGAATCTATAAAATGCACACCTTTAAAACTGCTTCTCTCTTAGTCAGAAATCAAACATTGACAGATGTTGTGCTACCTAGGGGTTAAAATGAAGTGTAAACCTATTGTAACATTACCCTAAAAAGGTCCAGGGGATGACGGGGAAGTAACAAAAGGTGTCCAAATTGAAAAAAAGGAAACAGGGAGGCAAATGGTTAAATTAAACTGAAAAAGAGGCAAGCCGCTATCACCTTTTAGAGAAGGAAAACAACAAAACCCAGATGTTGGTCAATAAACTGAACAGTGAGTCCAAAAAAAAAAAAAAAAAAAAAAAAAAAGGGTTAGTCACCAAAACAGTCCTCTCCACAGAGCAGGGGAAACCAGTCACCATACGCACAGCTCACTAGCTACAAAAGCCAACGAGGCTCTCTGGCATATGCAAAACCACCAGCATTGTGGAGGACCCCACACACCCCTAACATACAATCTTCAACCTTCTGGCAAGAGGTACCGGAGCAGTTGGGCCCTCACTGCCAGACAGCAAAACGGCCGTCAGACTCCTAAACAGATCAGTGACTGGACTGACACACACACACACACACACACACACACACACACACACACACACACACACACACGTCAAGTCACTTTTATCACAACCCACTGTTGTTGTTGCACTTTTCTATTGCAGTCTTGTGTCGGCGTTATTCTGTTCTGTCTGGTGTTGTGCTGTTTCGTTTTTTGCACACTTACACTTTATGTAGTCCTTTGTTGATAGCCTGTTATATGTAGCACCATGGTCTTGGAGGACCGATGTCGCATTTCACTGTGTACTGCACGACTGCTCATGGTTAAAATGACAATAAAGCCACTTAATGTGGCACTAGAGCTCGCCTTAAGTACACTTAATTGCTAATTAGAGTCAGCTTAGGTAGCACCTAAGGCAGGAGAGATGGCAGGACACACCTACACGTCGTTCCAGACCATACTCCATACCAGTTGGTGGCGGTAATGCACCTTTCACTTGTTTGCCAACCGCCAATATAACTGTAAGAAAGAAAGAAAGACACACCCACACAAGGTCAGTTGGACAGGAGCCCCTGCAAGGGCCATAACACTATATTCTTATGTGAATAACTGGCCAGAGGGACCACTGTCTGTCTTCTGTGCAAAAGTTCCTGCAGCTATTCCCCATTGAAGTAGGATCCAAGTAATCGTTGGTTTTAACTTACATCGAGAAACTCCAAGTAGGCTGGCTACACTGAGCTGTGGTTTGTCGCACAAATAATATGACCCATTAGGAAAACCCTAATGTACAGGCAGTGAACCAGGTGGAAACAATTATACACACCGCTGCCTGTCGTCTCTTACCTAGGGTAACTCTGGAGAGAAATAAAGTCCAGCTACTCTCCATGAAATTAGTTCTAGAGCCCAAGCTGTGTGTGATATTCAGTAACTTGGAAATTGTATTGTGACGACAAACACTGAATCTGTTTAGTTAATTGATTTTGTGTAGTAGACTTTGGTTATTGTGCTTTCTATCGAGCTTCCCTTAAGTTTTTTGGTTCATCTGTGTCCAATCAGCGAATCATTTACCTCAGTTAATGTACACCTTGAAAAGCGTTGTCGTCAGCTGATTTCCGTTTCACAGTCAGATCCACCCTTACTCTTCACACACAGGGCTGACAACAATGCTAAATGTGCTACTGGCCGGTGGGGCCGTCTCCTGTTTTCTATGCAAAAATCAGTTTATCACCCAGTAGGATTAGCCTGATGGTGTTAAATGCACTGGAAGTTTGCTTCGTACATGCCGACTGGCCCAGAAAGCCCTCCATTTCCTGTGCGAAAGTCACAGCAGCAAGCATTGGTGGTTCAGTGGTAGAATTCTCGCCTGCCACGCGGGAGGCCCGGGTTCGATTCCCGGCCAATGCAGTTCTTATTTTTCCGCTATATATGTGTAAATCTGTTATAGAATGCACCACTCTAAAACTGCTTCTCTGTTAGCCAAAAAACAAACATTGACAGATGTTGTGTCCCTAGTGTTAAAATGAAGTGTTTCAAGAAAGAAGACCTTAATCTATATACTTGCATGTGCAACTGGCCAGAGGGGCCACTGTCTATTTTCCCTGCAGAAGTTCCTACAGTAAGCAAATAACGGTGAGCGATAGAACAAATATACTTGATGTGGAAGTTTTTCCATGTACGATGGCAAACATGGCTTTATTGTAACCATGGGGTATAACAGGACTCAGGATCACTGGGTCTCAGCAGTCCTTTTAAGGGTTATCTGAGCAGGTCTTTGTCTAGCCTCTAACATCACTAAAATGTCAGCTGTTCCCCAGTTTTAGTTTCACAGTCAGAGTCACCCCTAGTCTCATAATCCTGAAATACAGAGAATGCTTGAACAATGTGAAATACACGCGTGCCAGCCGGCTCACCCACTGTCTTCCGTGCAAAAGGTGCTGCAGCAAGCATTGGTGGTTCAGTGGTAGAATTCTCGCCTGCCACGCGGGAGGCCCGGGTTCGATTCCCGGCCAATGCAACTCTAGTTTTTCTCCTGCTTTGTGTTATATTATATAAAGCATGTAGTACCCAATAATCTGGAGAGGCTAAGTTGTCGAGGCCCCTCTCTCTGACCTAAGGCCAACACGTCGGTTGTGTCTGATGACGATTTTGACCGCACATCCTGTGTCGCGCGACGCAATCTTTGCGGCGTGTCAGTTGGTCATGCAACTTTTGCAACTGTTTAAAAACTTGAGCTTGTGGAAAGAACTTTGCAAAAACCTTGACAAAGTACTGGCTTCTGGTTTTGTCTCTTTCCCCTCCTTATCAGCACACATGCCACAATATTGTCTGAGTAGCGACCCCTTTGGTTTGGTAGAATACTGCAGCGCCTTAGTGGCAGGTATAAATGGCTGCATCTGTGTGATGACAGCATGGCGGTGAGCAAAGCGACCTCTGCAGCTAAATGCTGCCTCAGCACATTTGCAAAGGTGCGAGGAGTGACCTGATCTGTACTGTACTGATTATAGCACGAGAACATGTAGATTCATACACCTTTATTGGAGAACAACAACGAAACACCTGATGTGTTAGCCTGAACATCTAACACACTCTTACAGGGAGACACAACCTGAGGCAAAAACGTGTGTGGTGAGCTGTGGTTTCTGGCTCAGCTGCTGGGAGCAGTGGGAAGAATGGGTGTGGTTCTTTGGAGAAGTATAAAAAACAGAATGTGACAGCATTGCATTATTTTTGTGCAGATGCCGTCCTCCAGATGTGGTGGTGTTTCCACGTTGTGTGGAGGAGGTCAGTGCCTTGGCAAAGGTCTGCCACAAGCACCGCCTTCCCATCATCCCTTTTGGCACTGGGACTGGCTTGGAGGGAGGGGTTGGAGCTATGAAGGTGAGATATTTGTGTGGTCATACTTTCTCCCACTTAGAACAGTTAACATCTTTAGTAACAACAGTAACCAGCAGGATGTCATCTTGGTGATAACTGTCATAAGTCTTATTTCCTGTGTTTGTTTGTGTTATCATCCTTCAGGGGGGAGTGTGCTTCAGCTTAAGGAACATGGAACAGGTTCTGGATCTCCACCCAGAGGACTTTGATGTGACGGTGGAGCCTGGTGTGACTCGAAAGGCTCTCAATGCATACCTGCGAGACACAGGCCTCTGGTTTCCTGTTGGTCAGTCAGGATGTTCACAGGGATTCACACAGATTAAGCATTAAGTCAACACTTTTGACATGAGTGTTCAGTTTAGGGCCGGCGGTCGGGGTCTTTGTGACCGTCATAGCACCAAGAGAACAGCTGCTAGTTATCTTGGCCTGTCAGTACAAGTTGTACCAAAAGATGAAAGAAAAACTACTGCACAGAATTAGTGATGTTGTATGATGTTGATGCTGATTTGTTAAAAAATATATTGATATTATATAATATAATAATATAATGTGATGATAAAACCCCCAACTATGATGGTAGTGTTAAAAGGAATGATGAAGAATACCTAAATAATACTTCAATGCAGGATGTTTTTAGGGTTTTTTCACATGCACAGGAATCTTTGCTTCTCTGTAAACAAGTACAAGAGAGTAGGTAGCAGCCAGATCATTAACTGATCATCAGCAACTGTGAGCATGTGCTACAGGCCTCAGTTAGCATGTTAAAATATTAAAGTTCATGACAGCTGCCCTCTTATTCACAAGTGGTCACTGCGGTTGTCCCAAGTTGTAAATATCTGGGTTATACAAAGTTACTGTCAGATTACAGATGTGTCCTTTTTTAATAATTGACCCAACCCTGGTTATGTGCTTTGTCTCAGATCCTGGAGCTGATGCATCTCTGTGTGGTATGGCTGCCACCAGTGCATCAGGTACTAATGCAGTGCATTATGGGACTATGAGGGAAAATGTTATAAACCTGGAGGTAGTGTTGGCTGATGGGAGCATCGTACACACTGCCGGGAAGGGCCGCCGTCCCAGGTACTCACCAGGCAAATGTGATGTATCGTTATGATCTTGAAAGCCTCTTACCTTTGCTTCTGTCTTGGTTTCTCTCCTCAGGAAGACGTCAGCTGGCTATAACTTGACAAACCTGTTTGTAGGCTCAGAGGGGACCCTGGGGATCATCACTAAGACCACATTACGCCTCTATGGCATCCCAGAGGCCATGGTGTCAGCGGTCTGCTCATTTCCTTCTGTCCAGGCTGCTGTAGACAGCACAGTGCAGACGCTACAAGCTGGAGTACCCATCGCTCGCATCGGTGAGCAGGAAACTTGGAAATAATGCAAAATAACAGCACACTGTGATGCAGAGGGCTCAATGTTAAGGGATAATTCTGGATTATTTTGAACTGTTAAATAAAATGATGTTAGCAAAATGCACTCAAACATTTCAAACATTGCCAAAGTTTCACAGAATAAGGTCCGTGTATCAAACGTTGAGGATCCAGTACTCTAATGTAGAAAGTTCGAAATACTGTTTAAAGGTGAAAATGGTGAAAACATAACTGATCACTTAAATATTCCTTATTTATGTGTTTCTCTCAATTCTATTATTCCCATCATCATCTTCACTGTAAACGCATTGTTTCCTTTCTTAGCGTAAGCCTCAGTCGTGGAGAAAACAGACACATAAAGATTTATAGACATAATGAGGAAGAGACAAAACTTTATTGCTCTTTTCAGAAACGCGAATTTTGCAGTGGTAGTGGTAAAACGGTCTGACCTCAGGGTCCAAACTCTGCTTCAGGTCCCAAAGTCAAACAAACACTGCGGCGTCACTGAGAGTTACAAACTTTAATAAAATGATCAGTGTAACAATTAGGTTTAACATCCAGACAACCATGAAAACAGGATTTATGAAGTTTAACGGAGTTCAAAGTTAGCAGGGAGTTAGCTCACTACTTTCCATCTAAACATAATATAGCATGTTCTGACTGAGAGATTTCTGAAAAATTCAAACGTACAGCTCTGCTATCACTTCTAACATAAATGAAGACAGAAAACTAAACAGCAGTGACGTTTGTAGGGTTACTGAAGTTGGACTAGCTGGTATTTAATGATGTGCTACGTGACCGCTAGAGACACAGCTATGTTAGCATAACATAAACACAGTAATGCTGGAGGATGAACGCTAACTTTTATTCCACTCATTAACGTGAGGGTTCCCAATGATTAGGGACAAATGCAATCGCATGGCAGGATGCTGTAAACGGACCGAACTTCAGTCAGGAGAACAACTGAGATAATCCATCCACAATACGAGGTTAGTCATTCATATACTGCTGCATGGGCTGGGCTGTAGTTGCATTGTAAGGTTTTAAAAACTGAGCTTTAAAATGTATAGTGGTAATAAAACCCGAGAGAGGCCGACAGTGATCACTGACTGTTTTTAGAGGCTTGGTCAGATTAAATAGAAAATTTAAAACGTGAAACACAGCAGCCTTAATAAACGCAGAGTAGTTTAGGACCTGGAGGCAGGGTTCATACAGCATCACTTAAAAACCGTATAGAATCCAGGAGGGAAGAATTTATCCTCAAACTAGAGATGTAAATGAGATCAATACCAATTATTGACAGCTGGAACCTACGCAGCAATGATGCAAGTGAATGATTTTAGATCATCTTACCTACATTTCCTTTAATCGTGTGTTTGTCCTGTGTGTGTGTGTGTGTGTGTGATCCAGAGTTTCTGGATGATGTGATGATTGATGCGTGCAACAGGTTCAGCTCTCTGTCCTACCCCGTGAACCCAACTCTGTTCCTGGAGTTCCACGGCTCAGAACAAAGCCTCGAGGAACAGGTCAAAACAGCCGGTGTGTGTGTTTGCTGATATCAGACCAGATGTTCTCCCATTAGATAAAGCAGTTTCTGAAAGATATTGAGCTTTAGTGTTAGTTTCCCAGATATGGCCAGGATATGAAAAGTAAAGAGTCATGAAGTCAGTGAACCATTTGTAAACATTTCAGGGTCCTCGGTTTTGTTGTAGACTGTCGTAGATGTTAACAGTAGTCACAAATATTTGTCTGTGAGGGGATGTGTCCAACAAAGCTTATTATTATTTGTAAACTGGTTGGTCCATCCACTGGATCTCAGGACAGTGCTTCTGAAAACTGCTTAACAGTCACATAACAGTAGTGTTGTGGAAGTGGGAGCAGATTTTCTCTCTTTGGTTAAAGTTTGGATGTAATGTGATTTATTGAAAGCAAGCAAACTCCCATTGAAGGTCAGTGTGTGTGTTTCTACAGAGGACATCACTCAGAGTAACGGAGGGTCAGACTTTCAGTGGGCTCGAGATACGGAAACACGGAATCGGTTGTGGAAAGCTCGTCATGATGCCTGGTACGCTGCTCTGGCTCTCAGACCGGGCTGCAAGGTAAACAAAGTCACCTGCTTCAGAGACCGGACTTCAAGCATGATTTTCTCTGTAGGTCGATTATTTTCATTTCCATCAAACAATGTGGCATCCTTTCTTTCCTAACACATTACCCAGTCCATATCATTATAGACATCCAGCACCATTTTTTTCCATTGAGGCCTCAAAGTGTTCCTTTAATTTTTGAGCAGTGAACTAAACAGTGCGTGGTCGTATCTTATTGGCTACTGCAGTTCTTGTTTGTGTTTTGTTTGCTTGGTATCTTGAGGTTAGAGGGTCCCGCCCCTAATAAACTATGGAAAAGGGGAAAAAAATGTGTGACAGTCTGTGCTGTGCCTTGTTTCTCTCCTCCTCTGCTGTTTCACCTCGTTTGTGGAATAAAGAGGTTTAATCATATTTTGACAGTTTGATTTAAAACCCACTGTGACAGAAAAGAGTGTAAGCGTCCAAACATTTATGGAGCTAACTGTACGCTAAAACACCTTTCCTCGGCACTGACACTAAGGAAGGTAAAAAGAAGAAGGTGTATTACAGCATGAGAGGGCTCTCGTGTTGGGCAGATGTAATATTGCTCCAAAGGGATTACACACAGCCTGCAGTGTGATATTATTATAACTTATCACTGCTGTGTGAAAACTCAGTACCATTCGAGTTGAGGTTGTTGGATATGTTGCCTTTTAATAGTGAGGCTTTGTGTGACAGCGCTGTGCTACACAAACACAGTCACTGCTCGGAGGCACTTTTATGTCTCACTTTATTAACGTTTTAAATCCTGAAGATTGCACAAGACACCTGCTTGATGCCTTTCCAATATCGTGACCTTATCTTCCCTGTGTGTGTGTGTGTGTGTGTGTGTGTGTGTGTGTGTGTGTGTGTGTAGGCCTACTCTACAGATGTGTGTGTTCCTCTGTCTCGACTGCCTCAAATTATTGTGGAGACAAAGGAGGACCTGATTGAGAACAGACTTACAGGTGAGCACACATCCACTTGACTTCACGCTGAAAGCGCACCCACAGCTGAATTTTACACCATCTTGTTCATTCAAGGCACTTGAATCTCTCTTATTCCTCAAAGCATTCATCTTTAATGTTAGAAAAAAAATAAAAGAAATTTATGAAAAGAAAATAATTTCTTTCTTTTTGGGATTTCAGTGAACCAGTTTGAGTGAGCTTTCTGGTAGCTGGTCAGCTGACCCGTGTGGTGGAGTAGAGAAGCTGCAGGAAGGTTGATTAAAACGTGTAGTTTGAGGTGCATATTTTAACTGAAGGAAGCACTTTGAGGTCTAAGGGATCAATGAATGAGACTTAACTCCTAATACTACAACTTTTAAATACAGGAACTCTTGTTAAGCTCCAGGATGTAGGGGTCATTCTGGTGTATCATCACAAGAGCACAGAAGAAGAAAGTGATGTAAAAAGCTGATGTTTTTTGGCATCGTATTGAATGTGGATGGCTTCTGCCCTCAGGTCCCATAGCAGGCCACGTGGGCGATGGGAATTTCCACTGTCTGATGGTGGTGGATCCAAACGACCCCGAGGAGATGCACAGAGTCCACCTGTTCACTGAGAGACTGGCTAGGTATGGTGTCACCTCGCACTCACTCACAAATCTTCTACCAATCAGGATTTCACTTGTTTTTCTGGAAGATTGTCGCCATCCATCGAGCCGTTCACTGCTTCAGGGTTGACAACAACAGGATGTGAGGACACAGTTCATATCTGTGACTCATTCATACAAATAAATGTACAGTGTTTAATCAGCAGACATTTTATTCTAGTTTGTCATTTTTATTATGACAAACCTACAGTAAGCAGACCTCACTCTAACTGGAGTCACTGTATGGACATATCTGATGGGTAATACAGTTGTCCAGGAAGTTAAGCTGCATCCATTTGAGGCGACTCGCACTGGACACGCTGCTTTGAAGCTGACGGTTGGTCACTAGCCTGACATATGTTGTCTACCCTCTCATGTTTTAGTCAAAGTTGTCCCGCGCCCCCACTGGTAGTTGCGTCAGGCGCTTGCATTGAAGTTAATAAAGGTTTATCTTGTAATGTGTGCAGTTCTCATTGCCAGTATTTTGTTTTTGAATGTTGTTGGCTATCTAATATGGCCTCTGGTATCGTTGTGCATTGCTTCCTATGTGGACTCTCCCACACAGCACATACAGTTCATGCCCACATGGACCAGCTTCAAGTAGAAACCAGCCCTGCATTCTGTGCAGCTCGAGGAGAGACTTTAAAGCTCCGCCCACCCCCGTGACTGAGCTCGCAGATGTCGTTAACATGATCAAAGTGATAAAATGATTACAGAGTAATCTTGACTGTTTTTAATGTGTATCTGAACGAACACTCCTCTGAAAAGGTTATTATCGCATACAGTAGTAATCAGCTACATGATAACACTAAAATTACCATTAAAAAACATTTATTGTACTAGCAAAAGACATAGACAGGAGCCTCGAACCACCTGACAGCTGCTGTAATGTTTTATTTATACTTCCTTCAGATCCCATCAAGCAGACACACACTGTTACTGAATACCAGATGTTCTTACTAACAGTAATCTCCTTTTTTTTTTAAGTCTTATTGGTTGAGCGCGTATGCCTCATGTACCTGTCAGGCAGCCTGGCCTCACTGCTCCATTTTAGCAACTTTCCTTGTTATTACCTTCATTGTCAGTCTCTCTTCAACACGTTTCTCTTCACCCTAATCCTCCCCACACTCGCCGTAATCCTCCTTACTCCGCTTGCTTATCTTCAAACAAATTCCTCCCCGTTGGAATCGCGCTCTCGCCCATCTCTCTCGGTTAATATTGATTCCAGAGGGCCAAACGTTTAAGTCTTGGGACTTGCAAAGACTTGTGGGCTGTCTTTCTATAGATGGAGGGGTTTAGCTATGTACCAATACAATCTTCTCAAAATCTGTTTTCAAAGACTTTAAACACCACCAGCTATGCCAGGGTCAGGCTCAGACCACAGAGGGTAATGGCATAGAGGATTAGATGGAAGAAAGCCACAGCTCACCTGAATTAGACCTGAGCGAAGGCAGCGGAGACTCCAATGCACGAAACAACTCTAACTCCCGTCCTTCTCCTTTTAAGCCATCTTTCTTCTGATTGGCTGCCCCTTTTCCAACAGCAGGTGGGTGGGGCTTCTGTGCTGTGGACCATGAATTGGCCATATTAAAAATATACACTCTGTGTTGCGTCATATAAGAAAACACAGCCTGAAGCCTGAGCTTCTGGCTCACAGCGATTACTTTCGTATGAATGTTTGTGGATAGAAAGTGAAACATTTTGAAACATTTGTAAAGGTTTCAGAAAACTTTCAAACTTTTTGCTCCTAAAAAATGTATTTACTCCTTGCAGGCGAGCCTTGGCCATGGATGGTACGTGTACAGGGGAGCATGGAGTGGGTTTAGGGAAAAGGGCACTGCTGTGCGAGGAGATGGGGCCTGTGGGCATCCAGGTCATGCAGAGTCTCAAGGATGCCCTCGACCCAAACAACCTGATGAATCCTGGGAAAATCCTGCAGCGAGAAGAGCCATGAGCAGCGTGTCCATCTGAGTGAAGTTTGTGGACGCACCTCTGTTAAAGGAGCACAAGCAAACATATGAAATCATTGAAGCAGTGATTTGCAAATTCAGTTAAATCAAGAAAGCTACATGTGTTTTATGGGATTTCTCACGAATGTTCCTGCATGCACCAGAAAACCTGACTCTTGGAAAATGATGAGTGTTAATAGAATCCTTTTTGCTAACTCCAAATTTGAGTTTTTAAGGAAGACCTGGTCTGTTGTTGCAGACCAGCATTATGTAAAGATTATCTTCCACAGATCCTTTCTTTTTGTGTCATTAAAATTAATGTCTAATATGTGGAATCACTCCAAGTGCTGTTCAACCTGTTTATTGCCTGCTGAATACATTTCATTGAAAGTAGACACTACGGTTTATTATGCTTTTGCTTTTGTAAACACTACCTAACTGCAGATGAGCATTTTGACACAGGACTCCATTATTCTATTGATTTGCATAGCTGTTTAAAGAGTATCTAGAATTCAGCGACTATATGTTGTATACTTTAAATAAATCACAGTATGCAATGGTTTCAGTGAAATCCTTGACCATGATGACCTACATAAAGAAACTGAAAGTTTTTGTTAATTCACAGAATGTAATGTAGGATGAATGTCCATGGGTGAGGTCTGCATCAGCAGGGAAAGCTGAAAAACCTGTTAAGATATATTTAAAGTCCAAAATCTTTGCCCTCTTTCACATTTTTCAAAGCTATACAGTGGGACAGATCCATCTTTGACAACCTGATTCTAGGCCCCAGGCCTTATCTTTGACCTCCCTGATATAGGTTGTCAGGAGGTCATTAATGACAAAAGTACAGTAACTTCTAATAATTTGGAGCGCTGCATTTGAGCTCTACAAAGTTGGCTATTGTTAAGAAGCTACATAAAAGTGAGAAAAGCAAACATGTTAGCTTTTCAGCATGTTAAATTCATTTCACTGTCCGCTAACCGGAATGGAGGCAGCTTTCAAGGAAGCGAGCAAACTTCAAGTAATTTAAGTTGCCATCATTTGGATTCACTGCGTTTTATGTCACAAACCATTAAACAAGAAAATTATCAGAGCCAAATGAACCTTCAGGCGTCTTTGTACCTGGATTTCTTCCTTCTGTCTGTGATGAAGCAATGCTCTACACCACCACACGGTGTCAGTGGTGCATCCTTGAGAGACAAACCTGCAGCGTGTCAGCCAGAAGATCAAAATATAATGCTCATTTCTGCCTCGGCAGCTTTGTAACTATTGTTTTCCCAGCTTGCAGCCACTAACTGAACATTAAGAAAGACGTGAAGAGCACTAACACACTCGCACAGCCACTGAGCTACAATCAAATCTCCTTTTAAATAAAAACACTGCGTGACTTTGTTATAGCTCACTCTGAGTTCTGTTTATTTTATTCTTATTGATTTGCATAGCTGTTTAAGCAGTCTACAGTTCAGAGACTATTTCCTGCAGCCTTTCTAATAAGTCATATTTGTTTTCTGTGAAATCCTTGACGATGGTTCAGGAGGCCTTTAAAAAAGATGCATTGAAACTTATAATTAATAACAACCACAAAATGATCACAAAGAGACCATGCATTCATTTAAAAAGACAAAAGAAGAAAATAAATAAGTGCAATATACATTCTAAAGTTATATTTCATGTGGGTTTGAAAAAAATCCACACATGCAAAAGAAAAACGCTATTTTCTCCCCATTTTACCTGAAAAAAATATACAAATATAGCAGAAATGGGCTGGTAATCCAGATTTCACCACCTCTGTTAAGTGGCCTTTTATGACTAAACTAACTAATGATGATATGTTGAGAATGTTATTAAGGGTGTTAATGAATCCTTTACTTCATTAGGGTATTTTTGGTAATCCACTCATTGAGAGTTAATGTTTAGTTATACTTTAATAAACAGATTTTTGACTCAGATTCTTCACAGCTGCGGACCAAACATGTCAAATTTGTTAACATTAAATAAAGTCAGAAGTCACGTTTCCTTTATAAATGTATTAAATGTATATGGGCAACTTGTTAAAAGGTGGCACTAAAATTTTCTTGGTTATGGATTCGCTCGAACTATTAAAAAGAAAACTGGCTGAGAACCTGCTTACACTGTGTTTTTGTGAGCTTGATTTTTTTTATTATACTGGTGCAGTGTGTGTGTGTGTGTGTGTGTGTGTGTGTGTGTGTGTGT